GAGAGATTATCAAGTGTGATCACTGTGTTTTAGATGAACAAGGTTTGCCTTCTTTGCATTTCACAGTCTGGCCCATTGCTTATTTTTAATGTATCTGCTGCTCACTGGGCCAGAGTTTGCTTACTAGCCATTTTTTCATACAAGTGAGGTGGGCCAGATAAAAAGAATATTAATGTGCTTGTACTCCTGTATAAACCTGTGCATGAATCTTTTACAAGAAACTTGTCAGCCACCCTTCATGAAAGCCAAAAAAGTTGAGTAATTCACTTTGATTGAGAATCCCTGGTGCTTTACAAAAGAGAGGAGCCMGTAACGCTCCCTGATGCAGAAATGTTGACCCATTTGTGTAATGTGTAGTTGAGTAGAGACAAACAGAAAAGAGTTTACATCTCACTAACCTGTTAAATGGTTCTGACATGGCAGCAATAATTGCATGGCTGGTTTCTGTGCGTATGGCTCTGCAAAAATGTTCCATAATCAAGAAGTGAACAGATTTTGACTGTTTTTGAAAAAGATGTTGGATTGATTGCAGAAGTCCTTTAAATTCCCACTTAATTTTGTCCATATGCCACTTTAAATCAGATTTCTATTTTCTCTMTATATAAAAATACATAAATGATAGTCACCTGTTGAATGAAACTTAAGAAAAAATGTGTTGGAATTTGAATGTATTTAAAGTGTTGTAATTCTCATTCTCATAATCCAAAATCTTTCTGTTGCAAGTTTGCAATCACTGTGTTTCAGTTTGACTGTTGTCTCTCTTACTGGTAGAGATATTCTGAATATCAGAATATCAGAAATTCTGATATTTCTCTTACTGGTAGGTGTCATGCAGAGGGAAGTCGTGAAATMTTGAGGCTTAAAATTTTTGGAATTTTACAGACTTTTTGCTTTTGCCAACAAGGAGAAAAATAAATTGTAAGATTCATAGAGATTGAAGATGGAAGAGCCCTATTTGGTCATCAAGTGTAGTTCCTTCCCAGCACAGGAGTATTCCCAAATGTATTTATAGTTGGGATTTTGGTTGCCTTCTTTCTGCCTTCTGATGAGTGATGATTTCCCTTAGCTCATACACTGTGAGTGGTAATGTAAGTACTGTGTGTTCCCTGGATTTTGTGCTATTTCTGTCGACGCTGCGGGTGGGTGGGTGGGTTGCAGTGCACTAACCCACCCACCGATCGCACAGAGATGAAATGTGTTGAGCTGTGGGCATGAAAATGCAGTTGTTTAGAGAAGATGGGATTCTCCCACTTTTGGAACCTGGTGGCTTTTAATTTCCTCCCTAAAGTCATCCTGCCAGACTATGTCTATTAGTTGTAATCAGGGTCCCCCTATCAGTGTTGGGGTGACTGTGTCTTCCTGCCTCTTCCCACCACAAGGCCCAGCTGTCAAAAACAAAACAGCCCGTTACCTTTTGACCAAAGAAGAAGTAAACATTTATTTTACAGGAATAAGATTGTCAAAATCAGGTTGCCCAACAGCTTTCCCAAGCAGGTGGAGATGATTACGCTATCAACTTCTGGCGATCTGAACTCTTTCAAAAGTCACTTTTGTACTTGGGTGTGTAAGGCAGTGCCAGCATGATTTTGGCAAACACAAAAATCTGCTGTGCCCRCAGGTGTCAGGGCACGTTCTAGCTCCTCTCCAAGCCACGGGGACAAGCACAGTCCTGGCACCGTGCTGAGCACAACCTTCTCATTCAGCTTCAAGCACGAGCAGAGCAAGTTYGTGTCTGCTTGAAGTGCAGGCAAAACCAGAACCTCCTTGACACTAGGGCAGAGCTGCGATTTCCTGACATTTGAAAAAGTTCCTAAATAAGGAATGCTTGTATTTTGTGAAGTAGCATCTTTTGGAAAAGTTTGGTTAAAAAGGGACTACCAGACAAAAGCCTGATGGCAGACAGACAGTGGGAATCTTCCCAGTGACAGACCTGCAAGCAGTCATAGAGAGGAAACGCTGAAAAATAGGAGGAGGAAGGTAGGTGCAATGAGGGAGAGAGGAAATAGAGGCTTTGAAATGTTCTTCCATTCCCCTAATTAGGTGTGGCTGGACTTGTGTGTCATATATCACACAAAAGATGATGATTGAGGTGGCATCCCAAAGTAGGGGCTGTGAGCAGGGCTTTGGGAAAGCTACAAATCCATCCTTTGCCCATAGCTCATGGCAGAGGCTCGTCCTCTCATCAGGATTTTAGCCTTGGCAGTGGGTGTGGGATTTTCTGGGTAGCAAGTTTGCCTAATATAAACCACTAGGAAAGTTATAAGCTCTGTGCAGAGGAGCTCTGTGCACTGTCCTCACAAGTGTTCCGAAGAATTCTTCCCCTGAACTTTTTCTTTTTTTTTAAAAAAAAAAGAAGAAAAGGATGACACTTGATGCATTTCAGCTATACTGCAATGTTAAAATGATAAATACCCAGGAATAGAAGTAAATTTTGAGAAGGCAGATTAAAGAACCGACCTGAGTAACTCAAAAAGCAGAGGCTCCACACCAAAGCCCAAAAGTTGTCCTATATTCTCTAAAGTCTTTGGCTTAACTGTGTAAGGCTTCTGGTACTGAACTTGCCAAAAGGCGAAATCAGAGAGAGGACTTGACATTCTGGTTCCCAGAACATCAGACCTCTGTACACTTGGTGCACACAGAAATGTGTATAGGTTTTTCTTGGGTAAACTAGGTTTGTAAATTCTGTTGTTTTGAGGAAAAAATCTGCATCAGCCGATACATGTGATAGAGCCGAGAGTAGGCAGCCTTTTTCTCACTATCCTGGGTCTCAGTAGTATATTGAGATTCATTTGCATTTACTTAAGTAAATATCTGAGCTATGCAATGCTATATATGTTTTTAGAATATACACAGATAGTAGAGTACTATACAGTCATGTGCTAGGTATACTTGGCCAGGTATAAAAAGATTCTTAAAAGTAACTCAGAAACTTTGATTTAGGGATATATARATTATTTTTCAATAAAAAGACTACACAAATACATTAGCTTTCAGAGGGTGTAAAACAACTCTGAATACTTAAATAGATTAAAATTTAAAAATAAAGTAGCTCTGATATAAAAATATGTTTTTTCTGACATATTATTTCTAAACTTTGCTTTTTCCTAGGGTTTACTTTCCAATTAACTAGAAGAATACTAACTAGTGTTACTGGAGCTGTATTAGTGTGAGGTGTTGTTATCCATCATAAGGATGACTAATACGAATTTCATCGTTGTTTTTAATGCACTGTTCTCTAAGAAAGCAAATATCACAAAAGGGCAAGAGACAAAGGAAAACGTAACAATTCATTGCCCTTTAAACCTCTCCTTCAGAGTGAAATGCTKATATATCCTAATCACTCCCTGCTGGTCCCCAAATGGTCTGGATTTGCTCTTATGACAGAATACGAATGTGGAAAGAAAACATATAGCTGTCCTTCAGAAGAGAAAAGGAGGCATTTCTCTAAGGTCTGTTGCTTACAGAAGTACTTTCTTCAGCAAAGTAAATGAGCCTGTCTCATCTGTTTGAAGGTAAATTGAAACCTGTTCTGATTTGTATTGGCCTCACTTCAGGGATCAGCAAAATGTGTCCTTTTTGCTGCAGAAAGGCTTTGTATTAAATTGTTCTACACTGTCACATGAATGTTAATGCTATTTGGGCTCTGTCAGTTGAGATGACGCAGATTTGGAACTGATGCTCAGGACTTTCGGTTGCTATTGAGGCTGTGAGCTTCTGAGTTTCCAACATGGGACAGGAGAGTAATGTGTCCCAGGAATGAAAAGGACCTGGGTGTGTTCCTAGGCTCTAGAACCCACAGTGTAGAACAAATTGCCTCCTGATAGTGAGGTCTTCTACCCTCCAGAACACAGTGGTTGCCCAGTTGGGCTCTTGTGGAGATGCTCTCTGGGAGGAGGCATCTCCAGCATGTGGCTGGGTGTTGCTTGGGAGAGGCACCAAACACTTGCCAAGGACAAAGATAATTAAGGGACTGGAGCATCTCTCATATGAGGAAAGACTAAGGGAGCTAGGCCTGTTTAGCCTGGAGAAGAGAAGGCTGAGAGGAGATCTGATCAATATGTGTAAGTAACTGAGGATGGGGCCAAACTCGGTGGCCAGTGACAGGACAAGGGGCAATGGGTCCAAGTTGAAACCCAGGCAGCTCCATCTGCATGTGAGGAGGAACTTCTTCGGTGTGAGGGTGCCCGAGCCCTGGCACAGGCTGCCCAGGGAGGCTGTGGAGTCTCCTTCTCTGGAGATCTTCCAAAGGCTCCTGGATGCCACCCTGTGCCCCGTGCTCTGGGTGTCCCTGCTGGAGCAGGGGGTTGAACTGGATGAGCTCTAGAGGTCCCTTCCAACCTCAACCCTTCTGTGACTCTGTGATTCTGTATACCGGCCTAGCAGTTCAGCTAGTGCAGGCRATCATGAACCAGAGCCCAGGAAACCTTCCCATTTATTCCGGATGGGTTTGGGATTCGGCTRCGAAAGCAACGCGCTCTGAGAAAAATCAACCCTTTGTTTTATTCAGGACAATCCACACTAGCAACACACTACAGCAAGACAACTACTTAGCAATTACCTGCGAAACAAGGTGCCCACGTAGCAGTTACTCATGAGAGGAGAATTGTCAGCAGGATAGCGAGACCCATCGTCCCCCCGATGGACGAGAGGCGGCCGAGAGGCCCCGAGCTCGCGGGCGTCCCCGCGGAGACAACGTCGGTCTCGGCTGGAGTCTCTCCCCGCCTCAGCYCCACSGTTATTTTTATATCCGGCGCGTCCTGCCACGTAGGGCCAGTAGGTGCCAGGAGGCGACCAAAGGGCGGGCAAAGCTCCGCCTTTGTCGTGAGGCAACTTGCCCCGGTGAGCGCGTGCGCGCCCAGCGGTGGGGTCTCTGGGCTCGTTATGGGGGTCCTGCCTTCATCATCTTCCTYTCYCTYGCCTCGGGTTTGACCTCCAAACGAGCTTAGAGGTCGGTTGTTTGGGTTGCTCAACTCAGATTCCTCAGTTGTTCCTAACCACCAGATGAGGTCCCTGTTTTTGCATTAGTGTAGCCGCCTTCGAAACTCCCTACAAYTGGATAACAGGTTTGTTCTCAGCTTCACATAGTCTCTTCATAGTCTTCTTCATGGTCTCATGGCCTCTACAGATCATTAAGAGGGTTATGAATCTTTCCTCCTCTTTTACCTTCCACCACRTGATCTGTAGAGGTCATCTGACTACACCATAACACCCGGACAGGTACCGTCCTCATGGCAGTTTCAGTCATTCTGTCTATTAACGCCATTACACAAGGAATACAACCTATGATACAAATGAGTACTATAAACAAGAATAATAGTTCTAGTAACAGCTTTTGTAACCAAGACCATCCCCATTTCCATTGTCCAAATGGATCCCAGTTGTCATCAATCTGTTGTTCAGCTTTGACAGTTCCAGAAATGCCCGTCTCCAAGCCCTTCCTGGCTTGGAGGGACTTTGCCAGAGTCTCGCTGCCACAGGAATTCCTGCTTCTTTCTTACGGTGGACTCATTCTTGAGATGTTCTGGTGGCCTTGGCATGGCCTTTCCCTGCCACAGGGTGGATTGATTCCAGGCATGTAGAGGAGGGGTTGGAAGAKGTGACCGCACCAAGGCAGGTACGTTTCTGTCCAGTCACAGTAGCTAAGGTGACCCACACATTCTCCTTCGGTTGTAAACTATGTAGGCTGGTGCCCTGGGGAATAGATATAACAAAGAGCATTAGTCCCCCCCCAGCCCCCACCCCCCTTTTTAGCTTGTTCTCAGCGTCGTTTCAGCTGGTCCCTCGGGACCCGTCTCCATCMAGTCTCTCCTGCTACCGCAATGGTCACCGCTTGTGTATCGTCTGCGGCGATGACCTCAGCCGCGAGAGGTGTGTGTGTAGCGGCGGGTACGTACCACACTTCACCCCCTGGAAACCCTTCAAAGGCTCTGTCCTGTACTGCACCTTGGTTCACGTGCACCATTGTCACCAACGGTCCGGGGGTTAAGACGACCTTAKGATGTGAAAGGTTTTTTATCCCCAATACCACTTCCTTTTCTGCACTTTGACTGGGATTTAATAGAAGCAGCTGTTGCGACGCGCCACAGCAGGTGAGGTAAACCAGTCGTAAGGCTTTATCAGGACAGGTACTTTGGATCTGCACATCTGGCTTTAACCAACGGACCTCACCCGGGTTCCATTCCTGCAGCTCCTGGTGGCCCACGATTAGACCCTGTTTGCTAGGAAAAACCACGTAGGCCTTTCCTGATCTATATGTTATAGTGGAAGTACTTACTACTCGACTCACTTGAGGCACCCCCTTCATCAGGGTTAATGGGGTGGAATCCCCCGTTATCCCACGATTATTCAGGATTCTAACCGCCTCATGTAAATGATCCACCCATCGGGAATACTTCCCGCCTCCCAGTCTCTTCAGCTGCTGCTTAAGCAGGCCGTTTATGTGCTCCACCAGCCCAGCCCCTTGTGGGTGGTGTGGTAAGAGCCACGTCCACACAATACGTCGATCATTGGCCCACTGCATAACCTGCTTGTTTTTATAGTGTGGCCCATTATCCGACTGGATTTCCACGGGGGTACCGTAGTGCAGCTCGATGGTTTCCAGACACTTTATCGTGGTGAACGCGCTAGCGTAGCGGCTCGCAGCAGCCACCACGAGCCCCGAGTACGTATCTACTGCCACACACACGTACCGCTGCCGCCTGTGCTCAGGTAGGGGGCCAATATAATCCATTTGCCACACTTCGCCTCCCACAGTTCCCCGTTTTAGCCTTCCCGGCGGTTGAGTGAAGGCCTCCTGTTGCTTCAGTACTGTGCAGATTTCACAGGCAGCGAGCACCGTCTGAGTTACTGCTTGAGACAAGTGGATGCCCCGTTGCTGGGCCCAGGATATGGTGGCCAMCCTGCCTCCGTGGCCACTCTTCTCATGAGCCCATTGCGCTAAAGAACGCTCTTCCATGCTCTCCATCMCTATACTCTTTATTTTTGCAAAACTATCTGCAGCTGCGTTTCCGAGCGCTGTTTCGGTGGCTAGACCAGTATGTGCATCCACATGAAACACCCATACATCTCTATCCTGTAGAGCTTCATAAATTCTAACCCAAAATTCTTTACCCCAGACCTCCTTCGATCCTATTTGCCACGCATCCTTCCTCCACTTTGGGAGCCAGTGCACCAAGCCCTGAGCAACGGCCCATGACTCAGTGTACACATAGCAGATGTGGTTGACGGGTGTCGCATCGATGGCTTGCCATGCAGCCACCAACTCGGCCAGCTGGCTGCTGCCTTTGTCACCTGTGGCGACCARCCGGGTTTGGGTGGATGGATTATACGCTACTGCCTTCCATTTGCCTTGAGTGACTCCACTTCCATCTGTGAACCATGCAGTTTTGCGCTGTTCTTTAGATAACTGCTCATAAGGGACCCCCCATTTTCCTATCTGGAAATTTTCCAGTAAAGGCTGTGGGCGATCTGGTATTCCATCTACTCCCTGCCACACTTGCTCCTGTAGAGAGTGTGGCCCTGGTTTTGCCCTGTCCTGGATATACCACCTCATCTTCATTATAGTAGCTTCCTGGGCATGCCCGATTTTGTGAGTCCCCACGGGTCCTGTTGCCCATGAGACAACCGGCGAGGGGGTCCTCACTGTTACCTCATGCCCCAAGGTTCGAGCCTCGGTATCCAGAAGTGCCCAGTACGTGCTCAGAAGCTGCTTCTCAAATGTGGTGTACCTTGCTTGGGCATTTGTAAGCCGGCGGGACCAAAACCCCAAYGGCCTTCTCCTACCTTCCTGCAGCTGCCACAGGCTCCATAAGGCTACATCGGCCTCAAGGGACACGTGTATTTCCACTGGGCCAGGCAGTATAGGGTGTAATTCACTGTACTCTTGGACCAGGAATTTTGATTTTTCGAATGCCTCTTGCTGTTCTTTGCCCCACTCAAATCTAGCCTTTTTCCTCGTACACTTGTACAGTGGTTTCAGGGTAATCGCCAATCCCGGCAGATATGCCCTCCAAAACCCCACCGTTCCCAGAAATTGCTGTACCTGGCGTTTACTCTCGGGAATCGGCCAGTCTCGAATGGAGTTTCTAACCTGCTCTGGAATTTCTTGCTTCCCAGTGTTCCATATAATGCCTAAATATTTCACACTGGTTGCCGGTCCCTGAACCTTTTGCAAATTCACTGCCCATCCATCAGCTTTCAGGGCGTGCAGAGTATGAGCCAGCCTTTCCCCTACCTTTTCCTCATCTGGTCCTTGAAGTAAAATACTGCCAATATACTGCACTACCTGCACCTCGCTCGGCTCTAACACCCCTGCAGCTTCTAGGGTGCGGTGAACTGCTTGATGACAGAAGGTCGGGCTGTGTTTATACCCCTGTGGCAGTCGGGTGAACGTGTACTGATGACCACGCCACGTAAAGGCAAACTGGTCCTGTGCTTCAGATGGTATGGGAATCGTGAAGAAGGCGTTAGCAATATCGACTACTGCATACCACGTACCCTCATGCTTCTGGATTTTTTGGATGAGGGTCACTAGCCCCGGGATGGCCGCAGTAGTGGGAGGAGTAACCTTATTCACTCCCCTGTAATCCACGGTCATCCGCCAGCTACCGTCGGGCTGCTTTATGGGCCAGATGGGGGAGTTGAAAGGGGAATGCGCGTACCGGATCACCTCGCTAGCCAACAAATCATGAATGGCAACCTGTATTGCTTCATCTCCTCCTGGAATCCACTGTTGTTTTAGATTCACCACTTGGGTGGCTATGGGTATTTTGGCCTCTTGCAGCAGTCGTCCGACCTGGATCGTGTGCACTGTCCATGGCGTGGTCCCCAAATGCCAGTGCACTCCTTGGATCTCGAGCAACAGACCACGCAATACATCTGTTCCAATTACATATTCATGCACCAACGCAATCACGACTCGGAAGGTTCTCTTAGGCCAGTCTGCAATTTGCATTGGGACACTGACGCGTTTTCCCCTGACTGGCTGACGGCCCAAGCCCCATACAGGTGTCACCTCGCCCTTGTGCTTCTCAGGGTTCCCATGTATTACTGTGGCCTCCGCTGCTGTGTCCACTAGGGCACRGACAGTTTGCCGGTTTCGTTCTGACCACAGGATGGTACACGTGACAAACGGCTGGTTATCCCTACGGGTGATGCTACACCGGAGCCCTTCGGACACGGGAGTCGGGTCACCCCGCTCTGCTTGCTTTGAACAGCTCAATTTCTCATGTGGGGGAGAAGCAGGCGTTATTCCCCGTCCTGGTCTGAAACGCAGCACAGTACGTTCCACATCACTCCAGCGGTACAAAATCCCCTGGTCTCCTGAGGTTGCAGGATCATCCCTGCTTTCCTGAAGCCGGTGCCGTGTCACCGCCTGGCCCACGTGAACATGGTGCTGTCGGGCCAGCTGGCGCAGCCTTCCTGTCGGTTTTCCATCTATATCTCGTTTCGCCACCCCCTTTTGTAGGAGCAGRCGAAACAACCGAGCCCGCTCTCCTGGCTCTGAATCCCGCCTATTCTCCCGCCCTCGTGGACTATTCTGGGGCCTCCGGGAGCTTTGTTCCAAGTCCAACCCTGGTAAATGTCCCATCTGCTGCAGCTTTTCAATAACATTTCCTACTGGGTTTCCCTGTTGGGTCATCAGCACAGGAATCACGTAGGGGCGCCATGCCTCAGGGCACCCCTCCAGCAGCTTATTCCGCATCCCGGGCAGGAGTGATTGTTTCAGGTACAATTCGGGATGTCCTAGTCCCACTGCTACTTTCATGGCTTCGGCTTTAAGCATCTGGCACGCCTGCCGCAGCGTTACCCACTGGGCGCTAGCGTGGGGCCAGTCACCAGCATTTACATGCCTATCAGCGAGGCCCTTGGCCACAGCAGCGATGAGGCTCGTCCCACGTCCATCCACCCTCCGCAAGGCAGCTTGCACATAGACGTCGCTGGTTAAGCCCAGGAATTTTGTAGCATCGACATCATCGAGCAGCACTGAGGCGGCTCCTGCCTCCATCAAGCGCACTAACCATGCCTGAGGTTTCTCCCCCGGCTGCTGCCTGTATTTACGCAGTAGGTGTTCGATGTCTTTGGGGGAAAAATCAGTTAATTCATCCTGCCACAGCATGTGCCCCTGTCCTGTCTGCACGGCTTTCCTTCGTATCACCGGCGCTGCCCTCCTMCCCACCTTTCCCCTGGCACCCCGCGGTTGTTCTTCACCCACATCCTCTGGCGCCTCCTCATCGGAGCCCCAGATATTTCCATCCCAGGTCTCTGGGTCCCAGTCAGGACTGGTGACCATGGCTCGCACCCTGTTCCCCTTCCCTCCTTGCCTCCTGCCCCTTCCTTCCCGCGCAACCCGCGCCGCATACAGCGTGGCAAGTTGGGTGCATGTTTCCTCTAGCCGTTCCCTTTGGTCGCTCGCCTCCAATAAAGCCTCCATCTGCACTACTTGTGCAGCCCGGACGGCTTGCAGCTGCTCTTGGAGGACCTCATTCCTCTCCTGCTCTTCCTTCAATTGTCCGATCAGTATTTTGTACGCACACAAGAGGGCACCTCCCATCCGTCCCACATGCTCCAGCCGAACYGATTTCTTTGTATGTTCCGTCTCCACAAACTGTCTCCAATACTGTAATAGGGACATGGGGTCCTTCTGGACCCAAGGTTCAGGGGACACCTGAGTACAGGTCTCCCATCGATCCCACAGTGTGATCCAAGGTTCTTCCCCCCAATCCGGCTGTTCTCCKTGGGGTGCCGCTTCTCTGTTTTCGTCGGCACTGCCCGCAGTGCCGCCAAGAAAGAAACGGCGCATGTTGCCCGCGGTGCTTCCTCCTCTCCTTAAAATTACTGGTACTCTAAGAAATAGCCCCCCTCAACGAGTCCAACACACAGAGCGGCTACAGCACAATGCCACAGAGAGTGACTGGGTGTTATTATCAAAACACACACACAGCATGGACAGCACGACCTCACCGAGCTGTGCACCCCACTAGTGAGTTACCCTGTTCAACTGCCGAATCCTTKTCACCAATTATGTTCTGGATGGGTTTGGGATTCGGCAACAAAAGCAACGTGCTCTGAGAAAAATCAACCCCTTGGTTTATTCAGGACAATCCACACTAGCAACACACTACAGCAAGACGACTACTTAGCAATTACCTGCGAAACGAGGCGCCCACGTAGCAGTTACTCACGAGAGGAGACTTGTCGGCAGGATAGCGAGRCCCATCGTCCCCCCGATGGACGAGAGGCGGCCGAGAGGCCCCGAGCTCGCGGGCGTCCCCGCGGAGACAACGTCGGTCTCGGCTGGAGTCTCTCCCCGCCTCAGCYCCACSSTTRTTTTTATATCCGGCGCGTCCTGCCACGTAGGGCCAGTAGGTGCCAGGAGGCGACCARAGGGCGGGCAAAGCTCCGCCTTTGTCGTGAGGCAACTTGCCCCGGTGAGYGCGTGCGCGCCCAGCGGTGGGGTCTCTGGGCTCGTTATGGGGGTCCTGCCTTCATCATCTTCCTTTCCCTYGCCTCGGGTTTGACCTCCAAACGAGCTTAGAGGTCGGTTGTTTGGGTTGGCGGCGTGCCTGCTGGCACGGCCGCATCCAAATTCCTCGGTTGCTCCTCACCACCAGATAAGGCCCCTGTTTTTGCAGCAGTGTAGCCGCCCTCAAAACTCCCTAAAGCAGATAACAGCTTTGTTCTCAGCTTCTCATGGCCWCTACAGATCATAAACAGGGTCATGAATCTTTCCTCCTCTTTTACACCAACACTGCTTAACCTCTTGCTATGGGTGTAACCAGTGTTTGAATGACACTGAAAGTGAGATGCAYGCGAAGTCTATTCAAGAAGAAGCTTAAAATGCTGTCAAATTAAGGTAATTTTTCCTGCATCTCAGATTTCATGCTATCTTACTTGTGATGTAAATAATTCTCTGAGGTGCAGTGAGGAGATGCCATTTTCTTCTGTGGTAAAATCACTTTTGGTCCCAAGATTTCTTTAGACTTCAACACCATCAAAAGACACGCTTTCCTAAACACATTTTTCTATCTGTAATGCTTGTCAGCCATAGTTGACTTATTTTCAGGTAGCATATGCTGCCTCTACAAGAATTTTAGTCCTTGAAAAGTGCACAGTTGTCTGGGGTATTGTGGCAACTCAAAATGTTGCTGAACGAGTGCTGGGAAACCTTGGGAGATTAAATCTTTTCAGTGTTCAGGAGTTCAACACTTCTTTTAAGTGGCCACATTTCTTTTAATGCCAACTCAGTTGACACCTCTTAGGATACCAGTGCACCCCATCCCCCTGCAGTTTGATAATCTCTTTTTAGTGTATGTAATGGATGGATACATAGGCTGAGGAGCATCTATCTATCTGTCATGTTCAGATATTTTTAGAGCACTGATCTTTGTAATGCTGATCAGCACCAAATGCGTTATGTAAGATTAGCATCAAAATATATATAATGGGAAATCAGCTCTGCTATTTCCATTCTTAAATTATTTTTAGTATTGCCCATAAAACTGGCATGGCTCAGTGCATCTCCCTGCCACTGTGTTTGCACCTGCCCTATAGGAGTCAACCTTAAAGATGGGGGTCTTGTCCCTCAGACCTTTTCAATCACAGATCTCTTTCCTAGTGCTTCAAATAAGTTTAATTAAAACCGAGAAAGGCAGTTTATCTTTCGTGGCCCTTCAGGCACGCCAGTTTGCATGTGAACTTGTGACCTACAGGTGCAAGCTCCTGTAGTCTCCTCTCGTCCTCAGCTACTGTTGTTTTCTGTAATGCTTCAGTGGATTAATATCTTACTGTTACCAGTAATAGTCATTTTCAGTAGATATTCAGCATTAATACCTTCCTGTTAAATATCTTTGGCCTATTAGCTAGCTGTCCAAAATAGGTCAGATTAGCTTTTCTTTTTTGAAGTTAAAGGGGCAGATTGTGAGAAAACAGATCTTATTCTTCTTAAACCAGTCCAAGAATTTAATTTTTGTCTTTTAAATTTACTCCAAAAAGGCTGATCCTTTCCTTGGAGTATGATGAAAAGCCAGTTGGTAATTACTGAGGTTTAAAGTAGATGACAACTTTCTGCACATCCCACCCATCATCATCACTATTTCTGACGCTGTGGCAGATGAGGCTTAATTTATTTCTTTATTTCTTTCTTTGCACATTTAGGGTGCTCCAAATACGTGATAGTTTCTGGAAAACAGCCTGCTGTGGTGCTGTTGTTTTCAGTGTTTCATTCCATCATGCTATGGCTTCACTGGTCCCTGAGAATCTCTCCCTGAGATTAGTTAAACATGCTCTGCTTTTTGTTTTTAACTTTATTGTTTAAAAATAATGGGTTATTTATTGATGCTTTTTCTTGGTTTGTAAACATTGCTTCAACRAAGAGAACGCGGAGGGAAAATGCTGAAAGACCAGCTGGAATTTTCTGCTTAAAAGCTGAACTGAGAAAGAGACAGCATCTTTATATGGAGCTTGCACAACATCATTTATGGAAGAAAAAGTGTCTGTCATGCTGAATTAGGGGAATGAAGATGTAAATAGGACGTGTGCCGTGGSTTTTATAGATTATAAGGAGAACAGTTTGTTTTTGTCCAGAATGATGGACTGCACTGAATGGGCTACCCTGTTCTCCGCTGTTTGTGYTCGTCTGTCTAGTCATAAATAAAAATACCCATATCATATTGCAAGAGAGAAAGATGTCAATGTAGGAGGGCAGTAATTTGAGCTTCTTAGGGAAATGGAAGAAAATTAAGACCTCATTTATGGAGGGAAGTGTTTGTTGGGTGTCTTTACCAATAYATATTCTTAAGGCAAAATGCAATGAATGCCAAACAAACAGAATATTTCACTCAATTTATACCAATTCCGTGGTATGAAAGCTTTTTGTTGATGCGAGCTGCATATCAGTTAGGATGTTTACTGGCATGACAGGATGGTTTGGGATATCTCCTTTTTTTTCTCCCCCATTCCTCTGATACAGCTAAATTTAGCTAGTTGAATAATTCAGTGAAGTGGGAGAGAATGGTGAGGAGAAGGAGAGAGGAAAGATTTCCTGGAACAGAATCCTCCCTGTGAAGGGAAAATACGGTTTGTGTATCGGAGTTTTAGTACCAGGTTTAAATTCCGGCAACTTTATGAGGCCTGTGATGGTTTTGAATTGAAAAACATGATGGATGCTCACTGTAATGGCAGAAGGTAAATTCCTGATCATCATTTTTGTGATGTGATCTCACAAGAATTAATGCGCGTCTCGGATGGTCTATTTTTGAATATATTGAACTGTGAGCCTTTCCTTTGAGGATGAAATGCACTTGAGGACACGATTCCAGTAGTGAGATTTGCCTGGCAGCTGCAGGGATATGTATAGGGTCCTCATCTCTACATGATGAATATTGTGAATTTTGGAAAAAAGAATGAAAAGTAGTGAGCTCGCAAATAGCCAATAACAGTGGTGAAATGATGCTTAGGGAAAGATTTTCTGTAATTAACAAGTCAGATATGATGCTATAAATGCTGTGAAAGATGGAATTTTCCTCTGTCCTTTTTGAGATACGTATATTAATGTTATTATTGTGTTAAAGCAGTTAATTTGAAGACCTGCCCTTGAAAATATGCTGTCCTTGAAAGCATGCTGTCCTTGCTGTCATTGCAAACATGCATCCATGCTCCTTAAATGAGAGAAGACGTAAATATGTGTTCAGCATTGGACACCTTAAAGGGAGACATTAATAGGTATTTCAGTGGGGTGTGGGGGAGGCTATTATATTGTAAAACAGTTTCAGGAAAGAGCACTGTTTTGCTGTACACTGATAAAAACTAAAGATGACAATGGGTCCAATTGAAAATGGTAAGATATCTGTTAGGGTTTGTAAATTCTGTTCTTTTCAATGGAAGGATCACGAGAGCTTTGTAAGAAAGGCCATTTGAAAGCTAATCAGATTGCCTAAAATTACATAGAATTAAGCTCTTAAGCCCACCACTCCTCCCCCCCYCCCCKTTTTTTGAAGTGAAGTTACAAATCTAGAGGAAAAAAATGCCATTCAGAGTAACTTCAGGAAACATTTTCTTCATTCTCATGTTGCCTTTTGCTGGTTAGAGCATGACTCACTCAACACGTGCATTKTTTTTAAAGAGATACTGGCTAAACTCCAATAAAAATATTATCCAAGCAGAAAAGGCTGGGTTTGAGCGCACTATAACTTCATTTTATCTTGCTGGGAAAGTGGATTCAAAGACTTCTTTGAGCATGTAATTTTGCTAACAAGTAGAAAAAGAGCAAGGCTGCACGATCCTCACAGTATTTTGTGTAGTGCTGTCTAAATTATTTCATACCAAATTAAATTCTGTGATTCAGAAGGAATTTAGGTATGTTTAGTTGAATGCATGTCATTACTTTGGAATGTCACAACTTTGGAACCACTCATAAATTAGGTTTTGACAATGTAAAGCTTGTTTGAAATTTCAACGGTGGTGAAGGATTATAATTGCAATTAATGCATGGACTGATGCAAATGGCATTTAAGTAAGCTGGTTATGGTTTTTATGTGTAGGTGAAAATCACCCTACCACGTTGGATCTGCCATTCCCTTGGGTATTGGGGATGAATGTCTCCTCTTCTCTGGAAGTGCCTTCTCAATATTCTCCTTTTGGTTGGGGTTGTTATTTGGATGACACATAAAACATGATTAATCTCTCAGTCGTTAATTTGGCAAGCATGAAAAAATCATTAAACTGCTGCAGTCAGAAGTGTCAGGATCAACACACATTGTCCCTGAAAGCCTCCTGAGGTCAGGTTGAGTCACCTGGAGAAATCTTGAGTGTAGAACAATGCAAATAGAAGGGACACGGTTTTCAAAAGCTGTCAGATGATTCCAGCTGCTTTAGGTCTGGGACATTCCTTGAAAGAACTGGCCTTAGGTGAACTGGTGCCACATGCTTTCTGAAAGAGCTGTTTTAAATTGTCTCATTTAAGGACTATGAGCCACTACTCACTGTTGATTTTATTCAGTGCATTTTGTCTCAGATGCTTCAAAGATTTAGAGATAAATGCTATATTTTCTGTTACAGAAAGCCCGTTTTCTATTTTTCTTCCATGTCTTCTGCCTTTGAAGGAAGGAAAAAGAAAAACAGAAAGACCCTTGAAGGAACAGTTAGATGGCTGCTGTTGTTCAGGCCTGAATGCTTATGAACATGTTGCTTGCTCCTTTCCTTGGTCAAGGAGCTAAATATCCCTCTCATGTTAATTTGGATTTTTTTTGTTCCCAGTGAATGGCTCTGTTTTGTATTAGATTTTGAATGTTGTTACCAAATAGAT